GTTTTCATTGACAAGTTTCGCGGATTAATACAATATTCTATAGATTTCTAGAGGAATAAAGAAATAATTCACTGGATAAATAATACCGGAATGTGTACTCTTATATTAGAATTTTTATTATAACATTAGAATCGCAATTACATCACCGTTGACATCACTGCAGCCAACAAATCTTCACAGGTGAATACAGGGGGATTACATACAGACATACATGACAGAAATCCTTTACTTCGCGTCGGGATTTGTCTTAACCAGGTCCTCCACACTCACGACCTCCGATTCGCCCCCCGTCTCGCGCTGTTGCATCTGTGGAAGGAATTGCAATGTTGCATAAGGAGGGATATGTGCGGGAGGATCAAGTAGAGAGACAGGAGAGAGAGAGAGTGGGGAGTTAAGGGTACGTGAGAGTTAATTCGAGAGAAGAAGAGAATTAAAAACGAGAAAGAGGCAGAGATAATGATGGAGATACCACGATTGAGGTAACAGAGAAGGGGACATTCAAGGAATAAGGAGACCTTAGAGGTACTTATTTCATTATTCACCCTAACGTAGCTGGAATTCAATTGACATATCAAAATTACCTCATCATGAGATCAACTATTTCCTCAAGCATACTCCGATAAAACGCGTTACTTGACATATCAACATCATCTCAGCCATTCCTCAGCCTGAATCCTATTTCCTCGAGTATACTACGATAAAACGCGCTACTCTAGAAGGATGCATCAACGCACGTGAAACCCGAAGGAGCGGATGAGCAGCATGTTCCCGAAGGCGATGAGGGACAGAAGCAGCAGGACGAGGCCGACGTTCCACAGCTGGATGATGAGGATGGACAGCGCGCCCATGAGGAACTCGGTGAAGAAGCACACGCCCCGCACCCATACCCACGCCCTCACCAGCTCCCGACGCTTCTACAGGGCGGGAGAGGAAGTCAGAAAGATGTCTGGCTGATCTGTATGGACACATGCAAGCACATGCACAAGCGGGAATAAGGAAACACAAACGCAGAAACTTTCTGTACCTAATATGTTGTTTCTTTCAATATGTTATTCCAACTAGCTTCACATAATCAAATAACGCATGTTATTCGATTTAGTGTACAGATACACAAGCGTGTTTAGGGATGAG